TAGGCAAGATAAATGTAATAATTTTGTTTGGAAAAAATGCTTTTCCCTTTCTCCCCCTCAAACAAAAAAAAATCCCCCCCATGAGAATCATCTAAGGGGGGATTTCCCCCCCATTTTCCAAAACGAAATTCAGGCCCTGCGGTGTCTGCCTACAAACAGTCCCTTCAGACGAAAAGGTGATTATCATGTTTGCAAGGCGCCCTTATATACTTCCAGGTCGCACGTTAATGATTCATGGGCTGTCGCCGGTCAATATGATTGCCTTGATTTGATAGTAATTTCAGACACCTGTCACGCCTGAGGCATTCCCCTTAGCGTCAATCGACGCAGCGTCTCGTTCCCTGTTCTCAGGGAACAGAGGTTACAGTCGTAACCTAGATGTTTTCAGACTCTTTGAGAAATTAGGTTATGTGCAATGTACATTATAAGCACATTTAAGTGTTTTTTTTTACTTTGAGTGCATGTAAACCTATTGTACGAGACCTCCAAAACAAAATTAGGAATCTTTAAAATGGCATAATAGAGGCACTTTCAATTCTGTCTAAGTCGCATGGGATAAAACTGTCTGCCAAATGCATAAATGTAAACTGTGAGTTTGTAGCATTCTTCTAGTCTAACTCAACAGTAGAGCATGGCGCTAGAAATGCCAAGGTCATGGGTTTGAATCCCAGGGAATTTACTTTGAGATGTGGGCATTGCACTCAAAAAATTAATATGAGCTTTCAGTTGATTGTGGAGGGGCGGGGTTTAAACATAATAAATTATTAGAGAAGTTTAACATACATTATCAGAGAGAGGTCTGTCATTTTGACAGGAAGATCAAGTCATGACATTTTGATTAAAGTTTACAGAGCCAAAAAGTATTACACATATTTGTGTTAACATTACCATAAAAAGCAACTGAAGCATTATGCATTGACACAGGGGTTGTAGCTGCCCTATCAAGTGTGTAGTCATCTTCATCATCATTTAGTGCAACTTTCACTTTTCTAAGGTATGCATTACTTGTTCAAGTCTTTTTGAAAAGAGGAACATGTAACATCTTAGTATGATTTTACACTTTCAGGGATGTATGCATTTTGACATACAGTATGTGATTGCGTATTGTGAAGTGGGTCAACATGTTCTAAACAACATAACATTTGCTATACAGAATTCAAGTGATTCAAGTCATTAAAAAATAACAGCCTGTCTATCAAATCAGAGTAAACTGGGTTTCCACTAACTGCCTGAAAGCATGATGCCTCACACACTGACTGGGATTTTGGTCAGAATGCTTGAGTGCCTCCGTCTCAGATAAGCAATGAATCCTGTTCTCAGTCAGACACACTTATCTTAGGCTCTATTCACTTCACTTCAGCTCACCAAACTGATATGCACAGAGTAAACAATAGCTTTCACTAACAATCACAGCTTCCTGTTGGACAGGCCCAGTCTTTCCATGCGGAAACCAGCGTGCAAAGAGAAGATCCTGTGAGGTTCTCTTGTGCAAAGACAATAAAAGATGATTAAAGACTTGAAACTGTATGCTTTACAGAGACTCTTAAAATAGTTTCATAATAGTTTAAAAGTTTGGGGTCTGAAAGATTTTGTTTTGTTTTGAAGGTAGCTCTTATGCTCGAAACTCCAGTAAAAACAGTAACAGCTTAAAATATTATTACAATTAGATTAACTGTTTTCTATTGTAATATATTTTTAAATGTAATTTATTAATGTAATGGCAAAGCTGAATTTTCAGCATCATAACTCCAGTCTTCAGTGTCACATGATCCTTCAGAAATTATTCTAATATGCTGATTTGCTGTGCTAATTAATATATTTGTGGAGATTATGATAAATTTGTTTAAGGATTCATTAATGTTTGATGAATAGAAAGAACAAATGAAAAGAAACATGACCCTATACTTTTGAACAATAGAATGTGTCTGTGTGTGTGTGTGTGTGTGTGTGTGTGTGTGTGTGTGTGTGTGTGTGTGTGTGTGTGTGTGTGTGTGTGTGTGTGTGTGTGTGTGTGTGTGTGTGTTACACTTAACAGATTTAACTTAATTTTCGGTTTTAATATGATCACAAGTTTGAAGTTCAGAGGGTTGCAGAAGAAACCAGATAGTACATCAAGCTGTTTTATCTCAAGAGATCAATGAAAAAAATGTTAACCCTTTTGAAACGACCGCCTTTAAAAAACAAATGACAATAAGTGACCAAATTATCAGACTCAGCAAAATATTAATCTTTTAAGAAAATTAAGAAAAATAAGTGTTTCTATCTCATTTAAATACGGTCTTAAATTCTATAATATCAGATCGCCAGCTGATCTGTATAGTCCAGAGGAAATTAAGTAAATCTTCAGATTCTGCATGGCACAGGGACTTTGGCTTGGCAGGCCATTAGACAGATGGAGGAAGAGGTAGTGACTGCTCCCGACTACAGATGAGAGCGTGACCATCTGCACCTGCTTCAGCTATACACTTCAGTGCCTCTGCCGAAAAGTGACTCGATTCAACACCACTAGCCAATTAATCAGTCAATTCTGAGATTATCGCCATCCGCCACATGGCCATTTAATATTTGTATCCATTTCTTTTGTTAGGATTTTGACATTTCTATATCATACTTCGGTCACCCTGACTCCTACCTACCACCCATATATTGATATCAGCCTGTTATTGAAACCCTACATTGTTCCCTGGAATGTTGAACTGAGCTATTAATTATAATACACAGCTATCTAGACAGTGCCCAGTTATGATGGTGTCATACCTGCCCACGAAATTTTCCAGGACAGAGCTTTTGCCCGCGCTCTGCCCCCCGACCACCGCGATCTGCGGCAGGTCCAGGTCGCAGCTCTGTCCGATGGCACTGAAGGCGTCCTGCAGGCGGTTCACCAGCGGGATGAGATCCTCCATCCCCCGGTTGCCCATGGTTACGAAGCCGCGAGGATGCGGCGCGTGAATCACTGGGCTCAGCAAACCTTTGATATATATAATATATATATAAATATATATATAAATATTAAAATTGAGAGAGAGAGAGAGAGAAACAACTTGCCAAATTTAAATAAGCTCAGTTTTTATCCAGACATAACGTTAGTATCTTAATTTGTGACATACAAAACCACTATTTCAATCATACTGCGTTACTTAACGATATAAAGTTTTGTTTTTTCTTTACAAAGCGTATGTAATGAACATACAAATCAGTTAACTTTGTAAATTTAACGTAATTACCTGTTGTTCGTTTTTCCGAGCGTTGGTCCTCCTCACAGACGGAGCCGTTCAGAAAGAGTAACGGCGCTCGTGTACAGGACACTGAGCAGTGACTGAACTTAAAAACACACACCCCTTTCTATACACGACGAACCGAAAGAAACTATAAGGTGATATATAAAGAAACTAAATAAACTATCTTCACTGAAACTCGCCGTTTTAATCATCGTAATAATCTCCGTTTTAATTTGCCCTGAACTCAACTTGTGGTCGAAACCTGTCAGCCAACTGTTCGTTTTTCGTAGAGCGCGCTTGCGCGTGCTCGCGCTAACGCCACTCCTCTGGGGGAATATAAATACAGATTTGGTGATTCTCAGCAGTATGCTCTTTTTGCTTATTATTGCTTGTTATTAATGTATGAGGAAAAAAATTCAGAATTCAGTGATAAGGAAAAAGGCAGAGTGACGTACCAGCAGTGGCGTGCGGCGCGTGCTTGCGACCCTGCCCCTTTGCTTAATGCTTTCACAATCTAAAAACGATACACCAGAATGAATAATACAGACTAAAATCTGTTTGTATTCATAATATATATAGCCTATATATATAAAGCAAAACTCACTCAGTCCGTTGCGACCGGTTAATCCAAGTGTCTATTCAGTGAAAAAGCTAAAACTTAAAAAATTACAAAAACAAATATAAACACGTGGTTACTTCTATCAATCACTCATTTATTTGAATAGCGTAAACACATACTATTTTTATGATATGGAGCAGCAGAAAGGAGGATATGGAGCACCAGAATTTCAAACATGTGAAGTGGTATAAATAGAGCTGAATATAATATTGGAAACTAGGACATTTGTGCACATCTAGGTAGTAGCTAATACTATTCGTTTATAATTGATTTTGTATGGCCTTTTACCCCTTGATAGGACAGTGAATGCCACTGCAGGGTGCAGCCACCCTCATGTCAGAACAGTAAAACTGTTGAGTAAGACTCATCCAGTAAAAATAACACTGCACGGCCATTATAGGGTTGCCAGATAGTTTGATTCTGTAAAAAACACTAGTGAATTTCTCTTTACAGCAATACATTTAATTTATATTTTTGTCAACCAGTAAAAATGTCCTAAAACCTTACATTATATGAACATAGTTGATATGTTATTATAAGGCATATCTCAGGAAACAAACAGATATTTAATGTCAAAGAATTTATGATTATTTTATTATTTCTGTTTCAGGACCATTACAATTCTTCTTTGTTTGAACATGAAACCAATAAAGCAAGATAAAATGTACTCCCTTTTTATAAGGGAGTCTTATTATTATCTGAACATAACGTGTAGTCCCTATATTGCTATTATTTGTCCTATAAAGTGAGACAATTACTTAAAGTGCAAAATTTTTGCATGTTGTATTGATAATTTGGGTTAATGAAGCCTTTTGATGTTAGTATTTCCATTTAGATATCAGTGAAAATAGTTGGTATAATTTAAACACATTCAAATACTTTTGAACATTTGAAATACTACTTTGGTGTTTTCTTTAAAAGCGCTGGAAGAGAAGAGTAACATCTATCACAAAATGATATTGATGTGTGCGGATAAATAATTTATAATAAATGCCGCAATATTCCATAAAAAAATTTCATGGTGACTTTAACGGTCAATCAGATGATCTCCTCCTTTCTAAGTAGACATTTTGTTGTTTTCCACAATAGGATGCAATTGGACCAGACTAAATGCCAACACGAGACTGGGACTGGAATAATTCCTTGAAAATGCTGTGCAGAAGTGAAATAAGCCATTTATTTTATCTCTCCACACCTTTAGATGACTTTCAGGTCATTCAGCCTTGCAGTAATGTCTATTTGAGGCACACATGGTGCAGTCTGGGTGTTTGCACGTAGTGTCTTCTGTAGGTCTTTTGCTGTCTGCTGTAATGTTTGTGGAACGCTGTGAGGTTTGTGTTCCTCTCCTGCACTTCTGCAACACAGTAGCACCTCGTTGACTTCACCCTCGATTCCACGAGAGAACACACGCGGGAACACGGCTTGAACACGTTCAAGAACTGACTTCCTGAGAGCCGAGTCTCGACACACAAGGTTCAACATAAATAGTCCTGTGGGATGGGAAAAAGTAAGATTGATCATGGGAAACAACCACTTATTACAGCACAAATGTATATTTTACTATCTCAAAATCAGAATTTTTCAAAACTTCTTTTAGTGCTTACCTCGAGGGGTTAATAAGCTGTAAACGTTCTTCAGAAGTGATGTTTCTACAAAGGCAGATGGAGGGCAGCTCATGCCCAGGGTCGTGTCTTTGCTGTCAACGTCAAACATGATGACATCAAAAGAATGTCCCCCTATAAAGAGTGCAGAATTTTTTATATATATTAGAAGGAACAGGTTGTCTGTCTTGAGCAAAGCAGCTAAAACCCAAATCCACCTCTATGTCTTCTCCATAAAATAGATGACCAAAAGGCCATTGAATATTGTTGTGGACAACAGGGGGCCTTAGAATCAAAAAGGTTTAGAATTAGAATTACGAGTCTAGATGATCTCTCACCCTGGCTCTCCAGTGTTTTGATGTGCTCCAGTCCATCTCCAAGTATAACTTTCAGCCTCTTGTCATTCTGAAATCCAAACCAGGTCTGAGCCACTTCCAGCACTGCTGGGTCCAGTTCAACCACTTCCACCCGTGCACAAGGCACAAAGTCATGAAGAAACTGGGGCAGACCCCCGCCACCTAGTCCCACCAGTAACACGGACACTGGGTGATCTGTTGGAGAACATGTGACTGACTAATCAGAACAGACTTTTTTGTGAATTATGCATATCGTTAAGGGGGACTGACATTCATCACCATAATAGTGGTCCATATGATTAATGCTCGTTATTGCAGTGTTCTGAACTCATACAATAGCTTTGTGCGAGGAACAGACCGACATCTACTAGTTATCAATTACCAAAGCTATCTTACATTCAATTTACAGCAAAATGGCATTGGTTCTCACATTTGTACTGTAGTAATCTAACACATGCTCTGCCATTCTGTGAATTCTGGGTTCAGGCTAGAAGCAAAATTTAGGGAAGGGCAAAATTATCAGTGAACATATGCAATAAAGCATCAATAGTGCGCCACTAAAAAATACAACATTTTTCACGTTTCTAACTAACGTGAGCATTTGGGTGAGAAGTGTGGTGGAATATGTGTATATGAATACTGTGATAATTATGGTACTATTATGGTTACCATAATTATCACAGAGAATTATGGTTCTCCCAATACATTGCAGGTGGTATTATGCAAATTAGTGTGAAGTGCTACAGTGTATGTTTCTTATGTTTTCAGATTTTTTTTGATGTTTTTTTTTGTATTTATTATCTTTTTGGGAAATGTGTCATGTATAAATTATACAGAGCTATCATTTTTATGTAATGTGGGGGGGGGGGGATTTATTTCTCATTTTAATTCACATTTTTGTGAATTGTATCATGTTTAATGAGGTCCATGCAACGCGTGCATAAAAACTACTTCACGTACGCTCTCGATCAATCCGCAATTGCCAAGTCAGCAATTATTCTCATAGTTTAGCGGCCGCGGGGCCCCTCAGATAAGGCAGGGCCCCAGGCAGGCCCGGCGCCACGAGGGGGCAAAAGGGGGAATTGCCCCCTCAGATCTGATTTGTGCCCCCTCAGTTTCATTTTTGTATTCATGGTTACAAATGAAATGTTTTAAACCTTAAATGTTTAACCTTTGGAGCGGTACGGTCCCATATAGGATGTATAATGTTCAGTGACGTGACATCACTACCAGATTCGCGCGTTGCTTGGCACTGAGCCAGAGACGGACGAGCTCAGCGCTGTCATATATCAAAACTATGCAGTGTTTTAAACCTCATATTGTTTATTTTAGGTTTCAGACATTGAAATACACATAGGCACTAGTAAAACAATACATTTGGAGTTTGTAAAATACACACGGATGTCTGTGGAAGCAGTAGGTAATAACAATCTATTTAAATATAATTTGCCAACGTGTGTTATTCATATCAGACAAACATAGTGGAAGTGACTATAAAGTTTACTCTATTCTTCTCACAGTTCACCGGCCACTTTCTTACATATATTTCGGGAGAAACTGATGATGACTGACAGGACTCTCTGAACTGCGGCGCAAATAAACATGGTGGCGCCCATCTCACATTATAGATCAAGATCAAGATTATTTATAAAGGTTTTAAACAACCAAACACACACACTTACACATTTTTGACAATCGGAATATCAGATAGTTGATGACATGGTAAGCCTTTTTGTGAATATTTTGAATAAAAAAGGAAAAACGAAATAAAAGCGATACACATCTGTCATTCATTATTGTGGCTGCGGTGTGTCACGTGACAAATATGACGCGTTGCCATGGAAACATTAAGGGGGAACGTTCTAAAATAAAAACTTACTCTGGGGAGTCAGAATATTTTAAATTTAAGCGTGAAAGAGTTCATATATGAATGAATAATAAATTATGCTGGCTTATCTTTTTATTACGCGGTTACCTGTGCAGTTGCATATGGGGTGTTTTATGGAGCGCTGCATTTAAAAATCTGTTGTTCCAAAGCGAGGTGTGTATTGATTGTTCATTGATGGTATAAAGTTAAGCCCCCCTAACAATTTCACATGCCCCCTCAGTCATTTCATCCTGCAGCCGGGCCTAGCCCCAGGCGACCACCTGTACCGCCTGTTGGACGGTATAGCTCATTAATGTATTATAATTACTATGTTGTGTGTGTTCTTCATACCTTTTAGAAATTAACATTTTGTGCTTTTGTTGTTGTTTATTATAATTTTAATTTTTAATAGTAATCAATCAGTTGATTTTAAGTCTAGAATGTAATGTTTTAACTGTTTTTTGCATATAATGTACAGCATAGCCTACATAGATACATTCACTATATTTGTTTTCATTGGCTTTATATTACACATTGTTTGGAGTACAACATTGTTAAAAATAATGGATTCAAAATCATTTTTAATTAAAAAAAATGTTTAATGTAAACTAATGTCACAATGTCAAAATGAATAATAATCGACAGCTTATTCGATTATCAAAATAATCGTGAGTTGCAGCCCTAGTGCACAGTGACTTTTTCAGTCTTTTCCAATAGAACACGTCTTGTGGATCAATTTAATAATAAAATGATTTATTTTTTTATATTGATATTATAATTGATAATAATCAGAAATGTTTCTTAAGCACCAAATCATCATATTAGAATGATTTCTGAAGGATCATGTGACACTGAAGACTGGAGTAATGATGCTGAAAATTCAGCTTTGGATCACAGGAATAAATTACATTTTAAAATAGATTCACATAGAAAACAGTTATTTTGTAATAATTTTTCACAATATTACTGTTTTTACAGTATTTTGGATCAAATAAATGCAGGCTTGATGAGATTTCTTTCAAAATCATTGAAGAATCTTATCGACCACAAACTTTTGAATGGTAGTGTCTATTTAGCCAGGATATAATTAATTATTTTAACATCAAATAAAGTAAACACTTTAATTAAAAAGGATTACGATACAACCCTTTCCAAATGTAAACGCTTCAAACTTTTTCTAAGCTTCTTAATGTTGGTACACTTACCTTTATTATTGATTGCATCCATTCCTAGCATGGCAAAACCCGCCACCATGACTTCATGGTGTGTACAGCAGAGAAAACCCCTGTCCACACTGCGATCTTTAGCTTCCATTAAAGCAGGGGCTTCAGAAACAGATGCTTTGGCTTTTTTCTTGTTCTTCTTTTTATGAGTAGAAGAAGCTGGAGAAAGAAACGAAACACTGACATAAGTCTTCAGTCGTATCTGTAAACATTGCAGAATTCAAACACAGCTGTTTTCAGCATCCAGGTATTCTGTAACTGCACCTGTGGCTTTAGACCAGAGTCTGCTCTCTGACTGCACCAGCTGGGAATTATTCATGAAGATCAGCCTGCGATAGAGATGACCATCCTCTCCTCTCACATCCTCCACAGAGTACTCTCCAGTCAAAGCACTGAGCCCTCGTCCAACGACTTCCCTCCACCCCAGATCTCCTCCCACAGACAGGAACGGCACCTATACCACAGCAAATGTGAGAGAGAGAGTGCATGAGCGAGAAATGAAGACAAGATAAAGAGCGATACAGCTGCATGTTATTCTCGTGCACCTGCTGATTGGCTGGCATTCCAGGAGGAGCGAGTTCCATCACCATTGGAGAGAGCTCTGATTGGACCGCCTGCATGTCCTCATACTCTTGATCTCGATGCATTGCCACAATGACCAGGCGTCTGAATTTTGCACTGGACGCTAGCTGAGTCCGACCTTCAGCTGAGCCATATAACCAGTCAGACTCACGGCCCTGAGGAACTAAAAAAAAAAAAAAAAAATTGTTTTTCATTTTTTATAAAAGTTTAATTGGCAAACGCTTAAGGCTAAGAGTCTATGATTGGATGATTATTGCAGTGATTATAATGTTTCTAGCATGTTATATGTTTTGCAACAGTTCTTCTAACCCTAATTGATGGAGTGTGTAGCTTCTCATCTCTTAAACAACCATGTAGGAACTGGAAGCGACATCATGGCCATATTCCAGGATGACAATGTCAAGATTCATCAGGCTCAAATTGTGAAAGAATGGTTGGGAGGGAGCATGAGAATCATTTTCACACATGAATCGGCACCTCTGAGTCACTCCAGACCTTACATTTTTGGATAGTGCCGGAGTAGACTTTACAGAGTCCTTGACTCTTGCATTGTCAATACAAGACCTTGACCAAACATTGATACACCTCTTGATGGAAATAAATGTTGTGATGCATTTTTTTGACAATGCATGAGTCAAGCACTCTGTAAAGTCTCCTCCAGCACATCCCAAAGAACTACAATCTCACAAATCATTAAAACTCATCGAATTAAAGATGTTGATAATAAATATAGAAACAATATATTTTACATTTATTGCAAAATACACATAATGGGTCTCATTCCTGAAACATTCGTAAATATACGAGTAAATATGCGAGTGATTTGCGCGTAAAGAGACCTTCCCGAAAACTTCTCCTGATTCACAAATACTTCGTAAACGTCAGATGTGATAGTGAAATGTGTGTGTAATGAATTCCAATCAGTCGTAAATGGGACGCGCGTGCACGCTCATTCTCAATTACCATAAATCCCGCCCATTAAATCCGACTGACAACTATATATGGGCATCATATTATGACACCAAACGAAGGATTTCAACATGTCTTCTCAAAAATTAATGAAAAAGAAAAATTTCTCAGATGCAGAAATCGAAGTTTTATTATCAGAAAAAGAAAAAAGTAAAAAGAAAAACTACCGGTATATATAATATTTTTTCAAAATGCTGTGTAAATATGTACCCGATTAAGGTGAATTAAAATGCAGCCTTAGTTATTAATGAGCAAAACGTTCGGATGTTAAACTCACTATTTACACGTGGCTGGGAGCAGGTGTAGATTTCTTTCGTACCAACTAACATTTGGAAAATACGAACATTTTAATGAATCCGAAAATTTACGCCAGAACTACTTTACACACGATTTACACAAAAATTCGTTCTGCTCGTGTTTCATGAATGACACCCATTACGCATAGAAATATTTAAGAAGTTTGACAAGGAAACTGACTCTACTTCCTTCACAGTGCTTCATGGGAGTGAGCGGGCACTAAAGTGTTTTTTGGTGTGAATGTGATTTGCTTGTTGATTCATGGAGATTTCCTTGCAGAATCATGGATAATGTAGTTTTTCACCATGAACTCCGCTGTTAAACACAATTATTTACAATTTAAATAATGTGTGCACCATCGATTAACAACCTTGTAGCTCACATTAGGTCGGTCTTAATTAATAATGCATTTATGCATTTATTTGCATAAATTAATAAAATCAATTCCCAGATTGAGTAAATGAATGGGATTTTTACTTCCAGAACTCGACTGTTGCACTCTGTAAAACAGGTAATTACACGTGTCTTAGCCTATGACAATGATAATAACAATGAAGAGGCTAAAGAACCAAATGCTCACCGATAAAGATAGCAAAGTGGTTACTCCGTGGCAGCTTGGCAGAAGGCAGGCTGTCCTGTACATTCAGAGTGTATCGTGGCTGGCCGGTGGCTGCGTGGCACAGTGTGAGGGACTGTGTGCTGCTAGCATCTGTTCCACCTCTGAGCTTATGAAGCATTAGATTGTAGGCCTGCCTCTCCTTCACAGCAGACAACAGTTCCGGTACTGATGCGAGTCTAACCGGAGCGCCATCCTCCCCCTGACAGAGCTCAAGCACTGCAAACGGTGGAGCTTGGCGGAATTTGGTGCAGACCAGAACGAAAACAGGGAGGGCGAAGGAGGTATCGGACACTTCATTCTGCTGTCCACATAGACAGTGAATTCGTACAGCCCAGCCCTGAGCGAAATGTTCCACAGCCAGCTTTATGACATGTTCCTGGGCTAATGTTACGCAAACGTACCGGCCCCCAACACTCAAAACTCTGACAACTTCTGCAAGCATCCTGCCTGCAAGAGCACCGTCCTCTTCTGAAGCCATGGCATCAAGCGTGCCCTTATCTAGGGCTGCCTGAAAGCTCCCGCTCTCAAAGCCTGTCTGGGTGGCATCCACCTGCTGGAAGGTCAGGTCAGGACGGCGCTCTGCGTTCCGCTGGTTCATGTGAGACACCACCGTCTCGCTGATGTCAATGTTGGTTAGCTGATGGTAGCCAACATCATAGAGCTGTTCACTCAGCTCAGAGTTACCACAGCCGACCACCAACACCTGCAGGCCAACAGTTACAATTCTACTTATACGTTTACATTACACTTGTACAACCTACCTATTTAGGTTCCTAAAGAATTATTGGCTGCTTAAAAATAGTTTAGCCATTATTTACCAAAGATATTGAAATACTCTATCTTTTCTCTAGTATTTAATCTATATTTAATATATAGCCTACAGTGAAGACTAGGGCTGGGTATCGATTCAGATGTTCAAATTCGATTCGATTTCGATTCACAAGCTCACAGTTCGATTCGATTTCGATTCTCGATTCGATTTCGATTCTTGATTTGAATTTCGATTCCTGATTCGATTCTCGATTCGACTATAATGAATATAGATGTAATACAAATCTCAGTCTAAATATCAGTTATCATTTTTTAGACAATTTTTTATTACATTGATCTCACCTAAATGTTTGTTTTTACAATGGGGGAGTTTATGCAACACATGGAAGCTTAATTTCAATCTTTGAATTAAATTGAAAAAAGTAGCGCAAATAAATACAATAGAATAGGCCTAAAGACACAAATAAAGAGACATAAAAAGAAAAGTTTTGGGGTAGGTCAGAAATACTACAGAAACTGAATAAAGTAATCCAATGTAAAATAACACTGGATAGTCTTTTAGTTCTGACTGAATTAAATACATAGGCTATTAATTCTGATTCCTTACAATTAATGCTATATTATGTTGTTTTGACAACAAAATTAATGACAGACACATATGGCTGCGTTCACTTTAAGAACTAGTGCACGGATCCATTACTGTTTCATTATACTGTCTGTCACACGCGTTTTATGCTTATTTAAGACATAACCGACTGTCTTTACGAGGTTACTCACCAAGACCAGAGTTTTGACATCATTTTGCGTGTTTTTAACTGTTAAAGCGATATAATCCACGAAAAATAACTTTTGTTACTGGCGAGCTGTTTGTTGTGAGGCGGATTTAGGCTGCACGCAATGAAAAACATGCACGAGTGCGCGAGCACAGGATAGTTTAAAATTGCTTGAAAAAAGACGTGAAAATGATAAACGTTAGTTAAAATGCAATGCTGGCCCGATTGTGCAAGTGAATCATGTCCCGACTCCTAAACACGAGTGTGTATCGACGCCTGCAGCGCTTGACGCTTACCTTGTGCAGAGTGAGAAGACGCAGCACGTGAGCCCTGAATATGGAAAAAATCGATTCGTGGCCGTTGAGAATCTATTTTGAATCGACCACATTTAAAAAAACGATTAATCGAAAAATTGATTTTTTTGCCCAGCCCTAGTGAAGACAATGCAGTGCTAGTTTAAATTTGATTAACAGTATATTGGATCCGTGCAGCTCTTAAAGTGACAGCAGCCTAATAAACCTCATTCTGTCTTTGTTTGAATTTGAATCAAACAAAAGTCACTCGCTGCTCTTGACTGAATAACTTTAAATAAGGATAATCTCTATTTAATATATAGCCTACAGTGAAGACCATGCAGTGGTAGTTTAAATTTGATTATTCATTTTCTCTACCTGAAAATTACTGTTAGAGACTTACCTAAAAAAACTTGAAAAGCAGTGTTTATTTTATTTGTATGTTTGTTCTAATGTATTTGTGCTATTACAATTTAAAATAACTGTTTTCTATTTCTATTTTTAAAATGTAATTTATTTCTGTCATAGTTTACAACCATTCTAATATACTGATTCGATGCTCAATATTATTATTTTTTATATTATTATCAATGTTGAAAACAGTTGTGCTGCTTTATATGTTTGTGGAAACTAATGACTAACATTTTTTTTTCAGGATTCTTTGATGAACAGAAAGTTCAAAAGAACAGCGTTTATTTTAAACAGAAAGTAATAGATACTAAATATTTTGTAATACTATGTCTTTACTATCACTTTTGATCACATTACACCTTACTGAATAAAGAATTAATTTTTTTTTTTTTTTTTTTTAATCTCTTACTGACCCCAAACATTTAAACGCTATTATGACATATTTGAACTCGACCGAGACCATCGGGAATCATTAAAGTCTGGCATCATTAAAATCATAGTTACCTTATCACGGGGTTTAATGTATTTATGTAGTACACCGCAGAGCGAGTTGTAGTCTCCGTACCACTCGAAAGCCTTTTCTCCTCTTTTACGGAAAAAGCGCTCCCAGTAGTCGGCTGAGCTGAACTCCTCAGCGGTGCGAGGCAATAAGCTCATGCTTATGGATCTGATCCTCAAGCCCCCTCTCAATTAAGCTTTATTTAGATTTAACTGATGAATTATAACTTTTTGCAGGCAGATAAAACTTTACCAAGATAGGGTAAATACTACTGAAGATATGATTTTTATGCTGCAGTCGTTGACATGTGATGACGCTCGCCCACATGTTTTGCACTTTCCACCCGGAGTGATTTTACAGAAGGACGACATAGAACAAGCAGCGATTGGTCAGTGTGTGAGGGGGTGTGTCTAGAGTGTGGTATATGCGTTCACTGATTGGTAGGAGTTGTAGATCGATGAATACGATTGGTTTATGGCATGTCCGTTCCTACAGTGCGTTGTTGCGGGGCCGAAACAGGCTGAAGCATGGCAGTACCTACCGGCAGAGCTGTGGTATTCGTAACCGGGAACGCGAAAAAATTGGAAGAGGTGAGAGTATGGCGTGTTTCATAATAGTGAACCAGCCATAAAGTATCCAGTAAAAGTACAACGTAAAACAGAATGTGAATAAGCGTCTTGCAGTGCGTGAAGTCTCTCCTCTCCTCACGTGTAATATGTTATGGCAGCTTCATAAATAATCCATATCCAGTCCTGCTAAATAAACGACTAGTTAGTTAGTGGATTTTATAGTTTATAAGATTTTTATTTTTAGATTCAAGTTATCAACTGCACACATTTGAGCTATTCCCACAAATAGGCTACAAAACACGGCCTGCAATGTTAAGTACGTTTTTATTTGTGTTCAGTGGTTAGGATCATGGTCAATAATGCAATACAGCAAATCATAAATGTTATATTAATTCTTTTATTTTATAATAATTTTCAGGAAGATTAGCAAAAATGCAAATTAAAACTAAATCCCGATTAAAATCATGATCTTGATATTTTCTAGAAATAAACGGTAAAAAAATAAATGTTAACGTTATGTAGACAATTAAAAATAAAAACACTGGAATGGGCCCAAAAATTCAGCCTAAATTAAAATATGACTCAGCAGAGGTTTGTATTGGTTAAAACTGCGTCAAACACAGTATATGTTTTTGCAATTAAAATTATTTTACTAATTGAATCTAATAGTTCCCTGTTCAAACAGGTCGTTCAGATCCTTGGTGACAAATTTCCCTACAAACTGATTTCTAAGAAGATTGACTGTAAGTATTTGGCTGTTATACTTATGTTTTCTTGACTTCTCAAGGATGCTGTTGCTGTATTTGTAATGTGATTGTGGCTTACAGTGCCTGAATATCAGGGAGAACCAGATGAGATTTCTACACAGAAGTGTCTAGAAGCAGTCAGGCAGGTGTGTAAATTGCACACTTTTTCACTGGCTTTCACTGAGTTGATGCCTCGGCTCACACATGATCTTGTGTGTTTCCTCTGAAGGTGGATGGGCCAGTGCTGGTGGAGGACACCTGTCTGTGCTTCAAGGCGCTAGGAGGACTACCAGGACCTTACATGTGAGTCTCTCTCTAGTTCCTTTTATATGCTGTAAATATAAAATTATATGCATGGTATACAGTATATATTTTTCTTCTCTTGACAGAAAATGGTTCTTGGATAAACTGAAGCCTGAAGGTAAGACACTTTGACAAAGGTTTGGTCTGCGTCTATTGAATTGATGTGAATTATTAAGCTGTTTTCTTTAATATGTTTGCAGGATTGTATAAATTGCTGGCAGGTTTTGAAGATAAATCAGCCTGGGCTCTGTGTACATTTGCTTTCTGTGCTGGAAAAGAGGAGCCAGTTCAGCTGTTCCGAGGAAGAACCGAGGTGAGCATGTTTATTTACTGTCCCATCAGATATAGTGCTTTTTACTTAGAGGTTTGGTGCTCATACAGGCAATACAGGTTTAAGGATCTCATCTTATTTCCTTCTCTCTTTTCCCCATCATTTCTGTCTCCAATATCACTATCAAAACAAACTAAATCTATTGACAGATGAGAGGTATTGTATATAAGCACCACAGATTTTTAATGTACTCTACCATTCAAAAGTTGGGGGTTGTTAAAAAAAAGTGTTATGCTCACTAAGGCTCCGTTTATTTGATCAAAATATAGTAAAACTGTAACATTGTGAAATATTATTTACTGTGACGCAAAGCTGAATTTTCAGCATCATTTGTCCAGTCTTCGGTGTCACATGATCCTTCAGAAATCATTCTGATATGCAAGCTTTTCTTATTCTTATCACTATTGTGCTGCTTAATATTTTTGTGGAAACGGTGTTATGCTGTGTTAACCCAATAGCCTGCAGGTTTTTGATTCTTCCCTCAGACATTTCTAATAATATTTTTTTCAGGGCCGTATTGTTGAGCCCAGGGGTCCAAGGGATTTTGGCTGGGATCCTTGTTTCCAGCCTGATGGTTATGAAAAAACGTGAGGAGAATTCGATTTTTAAATTGTGTTTCTCAGGTTCACCACTAAGTGGCAGTATCGGTCAAATTAAAGCCAATGAGTTTTGATTTAACAAAATGTACACCTATTTATAATAGACTTTTCCTAGAGTTCATGTGATTGCAGTGTAAGAATGCTGAATGCTGTATTTTTCTTTAAAGAATGAAATATTAACTTAAATCAGTGATAAGGAAACACAAGCCTGACAGTTTATTTTTTCGGTATCTCAAATCGAATGCTGTGAGATAAAATGAAAGCTTTTTTGATTTGATCCTGCTTTTGTTTTTCTCTTTCCCCTGTGCTGTGTTTCTGTGGGCAGTTATGCTGAGCTCCCTAAAGAAGTGAAGAACAGCATCTCCCATCGGTACCGTGCCCTGGCAGCCTTGTCGGAACACTTCTCCCAGCAAAACGACACACCAGAGACCAAGCGCACAAAACACCAGGACTGAGTTCTGTTCTCTTTCCAAGCAGAATCGGCCAATCACAGCTCAGTTTGGCTCTTCCTCAAATCAATGCACTAATGTGCTGATCTTAAACGCTTTAATATGTACTCCATCCTCTTTGTCTTTTAAATAAATGCTTATGATGTTTATAAAAAAAAAAGAAATCACAGCATATCATCATCTTTCATTCTAATATTCATTTAAAGTTGTAATGAATCTAGATGGATTTGAATTAAGTTACCATTAGCTATAGTAACTATAGTTAGCTTTATGTAAAAAATGTTTATGGTATGTCCCCATTTGAATTGCTTTGTAAAAGTGTGTGTGTGTGGCTGAATGTCCTCACTTATATAGTGAAATATTATGATAACTGACTAGCAAGGAGTAAAAGGCTTGTAAATCGGCCAGAATATGTTCTTATTTAAATCGAGTGTTTAGCACGTTTGTTTGGTAGGTTTATGGTAGGGCTTGGGTTGATATAAAGTCTATGTAATGCCTTCACTAATATAGTGAAGCACTATCCTGTGAGTGTGTGAGGACTGAGCAGGTCTCCGGATAGAGACGTGGGGAATTCAGAGTAATAAATCTTCCGGATGTTCCTGTGACACCTCCTGTTTGTTCATCTGCCCTCTGCGCAGGGGGGATGTTACTCTGTATTACAGTTTTATCATCCACTGTTTGTGTTTCTCATTATTAATGGCATGCAGGCAGTGTTTTCACTGCTGTTTCTTGCATTCTCTGTCATTCACTCACTCACTTTCTCTTCCTGACCCTCTTTCCCTCGTGACAAAGAACCCTTTATTGGTAACACGTGCGTATGGAGGCATTTGATTGAGAAAGCAGTATCGAGAAGAGAAGAGTTCCTCTCTTGGAGAAGGTTCAAGACCCATTTCATTTAGGGGGAAAGATATGAGATTCCTTTTTTTTCCCTTTTTTTTGGTGTTTCCTAGGGCGAGCATCACAATAATGCTCTTACTTGAGAGGTTTCTTTAAATCACAAACAGCAAATATTAAATTTCAGATATGAATAATGTGGCTTGCCGAGGAGAGGTGTGCTGTCACATTTCTATTACTTTTTATTATTAATAAACAAGCAGACTTGCTTTGAATACCATAACGACTCATGGGTTCCATATAACAAGGCCCTGGCAACCACCCACAATGCAGTGTTAATTAATTACTTATTAATGAATAAAACATTATTATTATTTAATTTAATATATATATGGGGTATAATATAGTTTTTACCCCATACACAGTAACTGGATTTCCAGATTTCATTTCATAAACGTAAAAAAAATACTGCTCAAATGTCCAAGGTCATTAAGATTTTTTCAAAAAAATAAAAAAATGTGTCAAGGTTTCCACAAAAATATGAAGCAGCACAACTGTTTTCAACATTAATAATAATAAGAAATGTTTCTTGAGCATCAAATCATCATATTAGAATGATTCCTGAAGGATCATGTGACACTGAAGACTGGAGTCTTGAGTAATGATGCTGAAAATTCAGCTTTACCATCACAGGAATAAATTACATTTTAACATATATTACAATATAAAACATATATTTAATATTTTTAATTGTAAAAAATATGCTTTTTACTCACAGCCATAAATCAGACTCACTGCTATGCATGTGCAATACCATAAATAATGCTTATGTAAGAATAGGAGCAATACATTGCTTTTGGTCTGCGTAACCTCTCCAAGATGCCCAGTAGTTCTCGGTCTCTTGATTTTTTGATAGGTTCAACATCTGTAATATAAGCCTAATGTTAGATTCACCAGACAGAAATGTAATCATTAAGCTACAAAATGTTTATGGGGCTATAAAGCAAACATTTTAAAGTTAATATCCTGGATCATAATTATACGTCTGCTAGACTTACATTTCAAACTGAAAAGCTCTTTACTCATTCAAAGGCCTTTTACATTGGATTTGCTTGCTGGATGCACTCAAATTAAGTTTGGAGCTGTGTGGGGGGAAAGAATTTTTAAAAGCACCTCAGGTTTGAATTCCTCATGGTTGCACGGGATGATTGCGATGCAAACAACTGCTGAGAGAATGCGACAGAGCACTGAGACAAATGGCTCGGGAAAACATCTCCGGTATTCAAACTGTCTATGTCCAAACCACATCAAAACACGGGCCACGTCCCCGTCCCAGCTCCTGCTGGGCTTATGGGAGTGTGCCCATAAATATCAAGGAGTGGCATCCATGGAAAACACAGAAAGACGGCGAGAAACAGGTACCATGATGACCCTCAATTATACACAACAACATTCCTCACCTCTTAATCGTGTGGAAATGCTTTTGTCTGATGCTTTTCGAGTTCACAATGTGTAAACATGTTGTCGGATGTCTGTCTAGTGGGGAAAACAAGTGTTTAAGGTGAAGAAACATCCTGTAAACATTGTCAGACAACCAAACTATGGGCTGTTTGGCGATCTGCATAATAAAGTTTCTAAATGCCTTGTGGGTATTTAAAAAAAATAAAGGTAAAATGCAATTTTGTTCCACTAACTTGTTATAGCAAGTAACATTCACACACACACACACACACACACACAGAGAGAGAGAGATAGAGATAGAGACAGATAGACAGACAGACAGACGGACCCAACCCACCAAGGCATGGACTCTACGAGACCCTGTGGCATCTGTCACCAACACATTAGTGGCAGATCCTTTAAGTCCTTTAGGTTGCGAGGTGAAGCCACCATGGATCGAACTTGTTGGTCCAGCACATCCCACAGATTCTCGATTCGATTGAGATATGGGGAGTTTGGAGGCCAAGTAAACACCGTGAACTCTTCATCATGTTCTTCAAACCATTCCTGAACAATGTGTGCAGTGTGGCAAAGTGCTTTATCCTGCTGAAACAGGCCACTTCCACCAGGGAACACCATTCTCATGAAGGTGTACCTGGTCCTCAACAATGTTTAGATAGGTGGCACATGTCAGATTTACGTCCACATGAATGAACGGACCCAGGGTTTCCCAGCAGAACATTGCCCAGAACATCACACTCCCTCAACCGGCTTGTCATCGTCCGTCCCACAGTTTATCCTGGTTCAATTACTTCCCCAAAGAAAATGGGACTCATCGGACCAGACGACCACTGTTGACAAATTCTCACCACCCACAACCCACAAGCTTTGCCGTTTCAGAGATACTCTCCTTGCCCTACACCTTGCCATAACAACTTGGTCTTTATTCCTGCCCATTTCTTCTGCATCCAACACTTTGATTACAAGAACTGATTGTTTGCTTACCCTCTAATCCCAGACCTTGTTCGGAGTTGATCAAGGATGTTTGTATTTATGTTTATATATATATATATATATATATATATATATATATATATATATATATATATATATATATATATATATATATAAACTACCATTCAGAACTTTAGCGTCGATAAAATGTTTGAATGTTTTTGAAAGACGTTTCTTATCCTTATTTAACACAGCAAAAACAGTAATGTTGTGAAATATTATTTCAATAACTGTTTCCTATTGTAATATTATTTCAAATGTAATTAATTCCTGTGATGCAAAGCTGAATTTCCAGCATTATTACTCCAGTCTCCAGTCTCACATGATCCTTCAGAAATCATTCTAATATGCTGATTTGCTGCTCAAGAAACATTTCTGATTATTATCGATGTTGAAAACAGTTGTGCTGCTTAATAGTTTTGTGGAAACCATGCTTTTTTCAGGATCCTTTGATGAATGGAAAGGTCAAAGAACCGCGTTTATATGAAATATAAATTTTTAGTAACATTATTAAGATCTTTGCTGTGAATTTTGATCCATTCAATGCATCCTTGCTGTATAAAAGTATTAATTTATATTAAAAACTCATACTGAACCCAAGTTTTTGAAAGGTATTGTATATACATATAAATATAAATAAAAAAATATAACTGTCCATTCAATCAAACATACAGAGACTAAAGAGTGTCATATGTTCTAAATGGACTTGTAACTTCACTCATGAGAAAGTTATCACAAATCATGCGGGTGAATGAGGCCATAAACTGCACAGCAGGATGTCCTATAAAGTTCAGGAATCCAGTTTAAAAGGTCATAATCAACAGCAGCATCTCGCAGTGACCCATCAGGAGGCCTCCACAAACACCTGGTGCTCATCTTCAGCAGGACTTCTTTGTGGCGTAGTAGCATCCTTTACAGATCTGGTGAAATAATTGTATGCGCAGTTCCTGTTTAGGGAAAATGTGTTTATTGCCTTGTTGACTAGACAGCAGCATGTGATCCAAGGGTTTCACAAACATTGTTTAGGTCTGTTTGAACTGAATGATGTTAAAAAAAAGAGAGGCTTGTGCAAGTGTTAACATCTGACAGAACATAGATCCTAGGAAAGCTCTGTTTTTCACATAATTTTGCCTTATTCAGTGGGGTCTAAGTGAAAACACATGCTTTTTTTAAAATGCATGTGCCCTCGTAGTCTTTAAACAAAACTTCCCGTCCCTCTCTTCTCTTCGCTTCTACAATTAATGTGTTTACTTGCCCGAGGCTGGGGGGCAACCTGTCACTAACATGAGATCACAGCCATGCAAGTCAATAACCATCCAAACAATTCCCCATGGAGTCATGGACAAAATAAGTCCCGCCATCACAATAGGGAAGAAAGAACTTCGCAACTTCAGAAACTTCTCAAAAATGTATATTACTAAATCCTTAGTGTGTGAGTCTTGAAATTATGTTGCCCACTGGTTGATGACAGTGACAATCTATAAATTAGAACTAGCCTGCCATGTTCAATTTGGCCCGAATACCAGTTAGCCCTTACCTTAAATTGCAACGTTTGACACTATCAGACAGACAATCATCATACATGTTGTAAACGTCATTAATTTAAAAATTCTGTTTCAAATTCGTCAAAACAACGGCATAAAATATTGCACTTACATGCTCAGATGACACAGGTTCACAGGTGCCGCAAACCATATTCATCCGCACAGTCACGCAGAGCCAAAGCACAACCACAACAATGTTCTTTCGCAACGTGCATGCAGTCTTGTTTTTCAACCGCTAGAGGGCCAAAAGGTACAGAGTGTAGCCTACCTTTAATGTAAAAGTATGATGTAATAAATACTG